GTTTTCTTTTTATATATATATATATATATATATATGTATTTTTTTGTACAAATTAAATTTTTTATTTTTTTTTAGAGTCTAAACAGAATAAGTGTGAGTGGAAAAATAAACAGTTAAAAGTTTTTCTGCACGTGCAGGGGGGGTTTGTAAAAAGCAGGCCTTTTGTGAAGGCCTTCCCAATCAAAATTAATGAATAATAATTTAGCCGTAAATAAAATGATCCACATGATGACCTTTCACCTGATGATCTCATCTGGGACGATCCCTCACATTCAGACACCTTTAGTCACCTTCAATGACGTCCGCGGCTGCCGGTAAGTGGAGTTCTCAGCGGAGTGGTGTGCTTGTATACTTGTATTACTAAATTACTATTTTGCAAGAACGACGTGAAGAGAGCATGCACAGCTGTTGTTTATATTGCTGTTTGTAGCCTGTGGAAGTAACGTTAGCTGCAGCAAGGGGCTATAATTTTTGTTCTTATGAATTATAATTTATGATGGTTTATAAAGGCTACTACGCCTTTTTCCCATTTTTATCACATAATAAGGCAGGAAATATATTTTATAGTTTCTATACTAAATGATATGTCATTCAGTACTATATAGTTTATGTATTACCTGGAGATAACTTGAAAAACACACATACACCATATATTTTCGCAATCGTGTGTTTATTGTCTTCACGTTTCATCAGTAAAAACGTTTTTGCTTTTTATTCAGCTCAGCTACAGCGATAGCCAGATGCTTTTGTCCATATTAGGGATTTCCTGCACGTCATAAGTTATTACTTCTAAGAGTCTGTTTCGGACTTTCTGCGCAAGAGCGTCCTTCCGGCTTTGAGTATGAATGAAACATAAACTGAATGAGAGAGTTCAGTGCTCCTGATTCACATCTCCTCATTTTTGGATACGAATAAAACGTCAGGTCATTCGCAGACTATCGATCCTGTCTATTTGAATTTAAATCTAGATTTAAATCTAAAAACCTCTACATGAACACACCTGCCCGAATAAAGTGCGGGGGACGCATTTACATTTTATTAAGAATAATAGTAGTCCAAGGCGCTCGAATCTTATTCAAAAAAATTTTAAAAGCCTTTATTTCATCATGGCTATAAGTTTTAAGAACAGGTGACAAGTGCACACCTACGCGTTGCGGCTATTTTGCCTTCGTCAGGGTGTGAGTAACAAACACAATCTGAGTTCATTTTAATCAGCAGTTAATTAGTCAAATAACAATCACCTGGTCGTTCTACACAGGACAAACAATAGAGAGGAAGTTCGACGATTACATATCAAATTAAATCAA